AATCTGCATCAAAATCTGGGAACAAAATATTTTTAAGATTTTTTGTCAAATTTTCTGGGCTGTCCCCTTCAAAATGTGCAAAATGCATGTGGAGCCCCGTATGACCCACTGCGAAGGCCATATCTTAGGAAATATTCATCCGATTCTTGAACGGAATACCTTAAACTATTTGTGGATCGAGTCTCCATAAATCTGCATCAAAATCTGGGAACAAAATATTTTTAAGATTTTTTGTCAAATTTTCTGGGCTGTCCCCTTCAAAATGTGCAAAATGCATGGGGAGCCCCATATGACCCACTGCGTAGGCCATATCTTAGGAAATATTCATCCGATTCTTGAGCGGAATACTTTAAACGATTTGTGGATCGATTCTCCATAAATCTGCATCAAAATCTGGGAACAAAATATTTTTAAGATTTTTTGTCAAATTTTCTGGGCTGTCCCCTTCAAAATGTGCAAAATGCATGGGGAGCCCCGTATGACCCACTGCGAAGGCCATATCTTAGGAAATATTCATCCGATTCTTGAACGGAACACCTTAAACGATTTGTGAATCGATTCTCCATAAATCTGGGAACAAAATATTTTAAAGATTTTTTGTCAAATTTTCTGGTCTGTCCCCTTCAAAATGTGCAGAATGCATGGGGAGCCACATATGACCCACTGCGTAGGCCATATCTTAGGAAATATTCATCCGATTCTTGAACGGAATACTTTAAACGATTTGTGGATCGATTCTCCATAAATCTGCATCATAATCTGGGAACAAAATATTTTTAAGATTTTTTGTCAAATTTTCTGGGCTGTCCCCTTCAAAATGTGCAAAATGCATGGGGAGCCCCGTATGACCCACTGCGAAGGCCATATCTTAGGAAATATTCATCCGATTCTTGAACGGAACACCTTAAACGATTTGTGGATCGATTCTCCATAAATCTGGGAACAAAATATTTTAAAGATTTTTTGTCAAATTTTCTGGTCTGTCCCCTTCAAAATGTGCAAAATGCATGTGGAGCCCCGTATGACCCACTGCGAAGGCCATATCTTAGGAAATATTCATCCGATTCTTGAACGGAATACCTTAAACTATTTTTGGATCGAGTCTCCATAAATCTGCATCAAAATTTGGAAACAAAATATTTTTAAGATTTTTTGTCAAATTTTCTGGGCTGTTCCTTCAAAATGTGCAAAATGCATGGGGAGCCCCATATGACCCACTGCGTAGGCCATATCTTAGGAAATATTCATCCGATTCTTGAGCGGAATACTTTAAACGATTTGTGGATCGATTCTCCATAAATCTGCATCAAAATCTGGGAACAAAATATTTTTAAGATTTTTTGTCAAATTTTCTGGGCTGTCCCCTTCAAAATGTGCAAAATGCATGTGGAGCCCCGTATGACCCACTGCGAAGGCCATATCTTAGGAAATATTCATCCGATTCTTGAACGGAATACCTTAAACTATTTGTGGATCGAGTCTCCATAAATCTGCATCAAAATCTGGAAACAAAATATTTTTAAGATTTTTTGTCAAATTTTCTGGGCTGTTCCTTCAAAATGTGCAAAATGCATGGGGAGCCCCATATGACCCACTGCGTAGGCCATATCTTAGGAAATATTCATCCGATTCTTGATCGGAATACTTTAAACGATTTGTGGATCGATTCTCCATAAATCTGCATCAAAATCTGGGAACAAAATATTTTAAAGATTTTTTGTCAAATTTTCTGGTCTGTCCCCTTCAAAATGTGCAAAATGCATGGGGAGCCCCATATGACCCACTGCGTAGGCCATATCTTAGGAAATATTCATCCGATTCTTGATCGGAATACTTTAAACGATTTGTGGATTGATTCTCCATAAATCTGCATCAAAATCTGGGAACAAAATATTTTTAAGATTTTTTGTCAAATTTTCTGGGCTGTCCCCTTCAAAATGTGCAAAATGCATGGGGAGCCCCGTATGACCCACTGCGAAGGCCATATCTTAGGAAATATTCATCCGATTCTTGAACGGAATACCTTAAACGATTTGTGGATCGATTCTCCATAAATGTGCATCAAAATCTGGGAACAAAATATTTTAAAGATTTTTTGTCAAATTTTCTGGTCTGTCCCCTTCAAAATGTGCAAAATGCATGGGGAGCCCCGTATGACCCACTGCGAAGGCCATATCTTAGGAAATATTCATCCGATTCTTGAACGGAATACCTTAAACGATTTGTGGATCGATTCTCCATAAATCTGCATCAAAATCTGGGAACAAAATATATTTAAGATTTTTTGTCAAATTTTCTGGGCTGTCCCCTTCAAAATGTGCGAAATGCATGTGGAGCCCCGTATGACCCACTGCGAAGGCCATATCTTAGGAAATATTCATCCGATTCTTGAACGGAATACCTTAAACTATTTGTGGATCGATTCTTCATAAATCTGCATCAAAATCTGGGAACAAAATATTTTTAAGATTTTTTGTCAAATTTTCTGGGATGTACAAAATCAAAATACCCTTCAATGTACCCTGAAAAAATTTTGCCCACTGGGCCTTTTTCCTTAAATTCGCCACTGAATAAAGTAAAGTAAAGTAAAGTTTAATTTTAAAATAAAAATAAATTAAATGTAAAAACACTTGGGATGGTCTACTTATGCCGGGATTTCATCATTTAGTAGCAATCATTCATCATTTCAAGAAGTATCGATAGCGATTAGAGCTACATATCAATTCCAAATGGATCCTCCAGGGCGACACATGCGTGTCACTCGATGGCCCGACGGAAATTCCAAAAAACTTTGATAGCGTTTTTGATCTATAAACCTCTGATAACGTTGTTATTATATAAAATTAATACCAACAAGAAAGGAAAGCTAACTTCGGGCGGAGCCGAAGTTTATATACCCTTGCAGTTAAAACCGGATTTATATCGCAAACATCGGATATAGTTGGCCGATCCTTATGGCAATAGGAATATATAATCCAATTTTTTACAATACAAAATCTAAAAAAAGTCCCAAACTTCTATCTTCAAAAATACGAAAGCTGATATTTCTACCAAGTACCATTTCCGATCGTTCAGTTATATGGCAGCTATAGGATATAGTCGGCCGATCCGGGCCGTTCCGACTTATATACTGCGTGCAAAGGAAAGAAGGGTGTGTGCAAAGTTTCAGGACGATAGCTTTAAAACTGAGAGACTAGTTTGCGTAGAAACAGACAGACGGACAGACAGACGGACAGACAGACGGACAGACGGACATGCTCATATCAACTCAGGAGGTGATCCTGATCAAGAATATATATACTTTATAGGGTCGGAGATGTCTCCTTCACTGCGTTGCACACTTTTGACCAAAATTATAATACCCTCTGCAAGGGTATAAAAATAATCTTTTTGATTTACTTTTAATGCATTTTTTTAAATTAAATTTAGTCATAGCTTAACGGGCAAAAGATTACATACACTTTTTCGTCCTAATAGTAAAAATAAAATATATTTAAATCGCACATCTTGATTAATGCAAGGATGAATTTTACAAATGGAATAGTACTTCTTCTAAGTGTCGTGAAACATCGAAGCGAATTCGACACAAAAGTTAATTTCCCGCAGCTCAATATTGCAATAGAGGAAATTGATACTGCCATGGGATTTTATCAAGGAAACGCACAAAAAAATGTACGTGAGGCAGCGCGTTTAAATAAAGATGCTCAATCAACTTATCATGACTCTGTTGGCCCGGTATTCAACTGGTGTGGGGAGGCTATTGACAATTTCAACGTTATCCTTCCCCATTTAAAAAAAAGCAAACGTGTCAAATGAAGACAAGGACTTCATATGGAAGAAAACTGTGACTACAATAAACGATGGCCTCATAAAAACTGAAAAATCATTGAAACAATTAGACGACGTTCAAGTTACATCATCCAGAGTGAAGAATTTACTTGAAACCACTTTACATGACACGTATATAGATTTCGAATCAAACGGTTATTACGGAAGAAAGAAAAATGATATCCAAAAGAGTATATACAAGTATGCGAGTGAGATAAACACATATAATATGCTGCAATATATTGCTATTGTAAACATTGCTAGTATTGGTATTGAGGAAAAAAAAACTGAACAACGGGATATTGAACAAAAGTTTCAAAGAATCATACCCAAAATTAGACGTGCAAGTCAAGTAGCAGAAACGTTAGTTATTCCCTATTTGGAAGAGGACATCACAAACTTGGTTACACTTAGGGGAAAAACTGGTACAGTGGACAACGTAAGTTACTGCATATTGATACATTTTTATAAACATTGATAGTAAATATATTTAAATTATTACTTTTAGCTAAACCCACTCTTAAAAATCGAAAGTGTGACTCTACGGACATCGTTCGCGGGTCCCATTCAGGATTTGATTGACCAATGCGGAAAATATAGGTGGTGGCATGGAAAAAATTAAGTCTATGAAATATGCATACTTTTAATAGGATTAGTTCTGTTATTTAACTTTTATTCACCGAACCTGTTCGAATATAACCACTAAAATTGTTTCTTATTTTTTAAGAATTTCGTCTATGTACGAATCTATTTTAATCAGCTTTCAATTTAACACCTTTATTACGGATTTTTTAATCACAAAATTTCTGCTAATATTATCAATAAACTTGTTTCTTACTTAAATACATTTTATAAGAACTTTTCAATGAAGATTTTGTGCAAATATAATCAAAAAAATTTGTTTTTACCGAAAGGTGAATACGTTTTTGAGAAAAAAATATTTAAAAAAAATTACATATTTTATGATTATATTGTCAGTACTAAAGTTTTACTGTAGAGCTTTCTAAAGCTTTGTTTTACGTACATACATAGTATATCCTTTGTTTCTTTATCTCAAAGTACATATGTACGTATTCTTAATTTGTTTTTGAGGTTGAACTTGTAGTCCCTGTAATCTCAGTCACAGTCCCCAGTCTTCCAGTCTGTATAGACAATATTGTGAGAGACGTGAGACTACAAACCAGCAATTACGGACCCTGCTTTTTTTGCCATGGTACATCTTTCTAATGGACTTTTACTGCTCCTAAGCATTGTGAAACATCAAAGCGAGTTTGACACAAAAGTCAAACTTCCTGAGCTAGAAAATGCAATCGGAAAAATCGAAATCGCTGTCGGAGTATATCATGATAAAGCTAAAAGCAAACTGGATCGCGCTCGCGGCTTAAATAGGGCTGCCATTGTAAATTACCAACAATCTATTAGACCGGTATTCGAGTGGTGCGACTTGACCATTGGAAAATTCAACCATGTCCTGCCCCACATCAAAGAGAAAAATATGACAACGGACGATAAAGACTACATATGGGGTGTGACAGTCAATACACTGCACGATGGTCTAAATAAAACTCTTCAGTCTCTGGATCTATTAAATGATGTTCAAAACAAATCATATGAAATTACCAATTTATTAGCTGACCTTTTGCACGACTTACACAACGAGTTTGGTCCACAAGGCTTATTCGGAAGTGTAAACCATGTTTTAGATACAACTATTAAAAATGTAAGAAAGAATTTGCACATTCCATTTTATGATCTTGCTGGTGAAATTGCTGGAAATATCGAAATCCAGAAAAAGGAGTTACATGAACAATTTCTCTGTATCAAGGGAAAAATTGAATACGCCAGTCAAATAGCCAAAACAGGTGTCAATCCATACCTCGAAGAGGATAAAACTAACTTGTTAGTCCTTAGAGGGAAAACCAAGGACGCAGACTTTGTAAGTTTTTCAAAAAAAAAAAAAAATGTTTAAATATTATGTCTACTTGGTATTTTTAGAGCAACCCTCTTCTGACCTTCGACAGTCCAACAATGCGGGCTTTGTATATTCCTATCCTACAGGATTTAATAAGCCAGTGTCGAAACTACAACTTATGGCATAAATTACAAACTTAAAAAATGTAAACTTCAGTTTGTGTAGGTCCACAATTTATTTGATGTAAAATGCATATTAGCGTTACAAATAAAAATATGTAATTTTTTTCATATTTAAAGCCATATCAAAGCTTTAGATAATAAAAACCTTTTGACTATATTATATTTCGGTGGAACTTAAAGTAAAATTTAATTAAAAAAAACTTTAAAAAAAATTTTTAAATTTGTTTCGTATAAATCTGGCAGCCCCACTCGATAGCAACTATCGATAAGTTTATAGCACACATGTATATAGCACAATTTTATAGAAATAAGGTCGCTACAATCAAATGCTTTTTTAGTTGCCTTTATACAATTCTTAATTTAAACAAAAATTATTCTTAGATGGTCAAATAAACATCCTATGTACATAATATATTATATTCGATATACAGGTAAAATCGGCTTAAGAATATGATGTTTGAAGTTATCGATATACTCATATTTAAAATAATCAACAACACGTGCAACTGACGGCTAGGGAAATGGGTAAAACACGGAAAGTGAAGACCCGAAATCCGTCCGGAATGGACACCTCCACAGGACTAGAGACTGATGCTGGAGGAGAGGGCGAGGTGGAAGGATGTGGTCCCATCGAAGCGATATGTTTGCACCTGCAGCGCCCCGACGTGGAGGACAAACTGAATGGACTGCATTCCTTTGCTGTTCTGGCGCTGCGAAAGGAAAAAGTGCGAGAGATTTGTGAGAGCGAACTGGTCAGGATTGCGGCTCCATTGCTGTGTGACAAGGAGAGCGCTATTCGTGACGCAGCTGCCGGCGCCTTCCGGAACCTATCAGTTTTTGGATCGGAGGTCTGTGACTTTCTGGTGGACAACGACATACTGACTGCGCTGCTGTCTCTGCTCCTGGAGTACGATCTGACCAAAGGTGGCTTTGAAACCGAATTGCAAGCCGACATTTTCCTTCAGGCCATCCATCTGCTCCGGAATCTATGCGAGAGCTCCCCCACAGCCACCGAAGCCTTCAACCAGGCCAACTTCCTCGGCAGACTGCTGCTATGCCTGGATTATCGCAAATTTGGCTTGGAGATATCGTTGTCAGTGGCCCAACTGGTGCTAGTAATATCAGAGAACAACTCTTCCTCGTGGAACCTTCTGGCTAGCGCCGGCATATTACCCGAGCTGCTGGCTATTCCAGCGGAGAGTCACGGTCATCTTTATCTTAGCGCTTTGGCAGCAGGGATACTGTGCAATGTACCCGCATGCTCGGCTGCCCACACGAAAGAGATCTTAACTGGCTTGGACACGCTGCTCAGTATTGATTCCCAATCCCAGCTGGTAAACTGCAGAGCACAGATACAGGACGTGAAATCAAAAAACGAAGCTCCTGTTCTGGAAATATCTATGGAAACCGAAGAACTACCAGAATCCCAAAACGTGAACGAAAACAAATCCGATCAGAGCGACGCAGAAGCTGTGTTGAAGAACTTGGAACACCTGCTAGACGGTCAGCGCTTGGTGGCGGAGATTATAACCAATTTAGGGTCCAGTGATGATCAGAGCAACTGGGACTCTGCCTCCGACCAGTCAGAGACTGAAAGCGTGGCCGACTACGACATGGAAGATGATACAGAAGAGAGCGGAGCAGGAGGACTACCAGCTAATTTTGTAGAGACCATCAAACTGAACAACGTTGTCCAGAAACTTTGGCTGAAAGCACAACCCTTGGATCCCACTCTGGAGAAACTCTTGGCTCAGCATGAGAACCTGCGGGAAAAGGTCTCCAAGCTGCGGGTATCTTACCTCATCTGTTTGCAGAACCTGTGCAATGTATTGTCTGTTGAGGATCTGGGTGGACACACTGAGATCTACAACATGTGGATGAACCTTGGCCAGCAGGCGTTCAAGGGCTCCGAGGAGGTGCCAGTGATGGAAGCCATCACCTCTCTGATGCGCTCCACGCTCAGTTTGCTCAAGTCCCGGCGAGAACTCTTCGGCCAAATGACCGAAAACGATTTGAATATGATCATCGAGGGAGCCAGCAAGTGTACAGTAATGGACATCCGGGTCAACTGGAACCGCATGCTGGGAACTCTGGGATCGCTGCTTCCAGAACAGCTGGTTAAAGCCATTGTTCTCTTCCTGCTCAATGCTTGTGCCCAGGAGGAGGATCTGTGGGCCCTCTCGGAAGGGCTGGACGCTTTAATGGACATTTTCGCCGTGGAAGACTGGCCCCAAATCATCGCCGAGCTGCAAATGTGCGAACGAATCCAAGCCCTGGAAGAGATATTCAAGTCCAAGCTGAGACAACAGCGCCGCGATCTAAAGGAACGTCGCGCCACCATCTACACGGTTAAGACGAATTTTGCCCGATTCGTCTCATATTTAAACAAGAACTGTAAACAATAAAAATGACCAACCAAAAAAATTTTAATATTATTTTTTTTAATATTAAGTACCTTTTAAAAAATATTAACTTTCTAAATGTGGGAAAAAGATTTCGATTTTATCAAGGTGTAGAAGCTCTATTAAGGTATAGGTTGGTATTAAAGAGCATTTAGAGATTGGAAAAATAAATACTTTACAATTGGTTTTAATAAAATGGATTTTAAAATTATCCCTGCTAATAATTTAAAATTTAACACCTTGATAGCTTGGAAAAAAATACTTTAACAACTATAGCTAGTACTTGAAAATGTCTGAAAGAATAAAGTTGGTCCTAAGCGCTCTTTTGGTTCTCGGTTTGGTGATTCATGTAACCATAGGTCAGGATGCGACGACAGGGGCTGCTGGTACGACAGCTCCACCAACGACACCAGCTCCAGGAACAACACCAGCACCAGCAACGAACTCAACTCCCCCAGGAGGCGGCAATGGAACTCAGCCAGGAAACGGACATGGATCAAACGCAACACACCCTTCTGCATCCTCGCCAAAAGATGATGGACCCGATGAATCTGTCGACTACTGCGTACCCTCGATGTGCCCGCCTGGACACCACCATGTGGCATGCAACGTTTCAGTGGTAAGTATACGAAGTTCTTTATTTTAGATACCGTGACTAATAAAATAAATAGCAATTGCTTTCCCACATGTTTAGTGTGTAATTTTAAAAATATATTTTAGTTTTAAGTAATACAAATTTTTAAAGGTAAGACGATGACGTAATTTAACGGACATTAACGTCTAAGTTTTCAAGCTTTTATTGTCTGTCGTCATACTATTATAATTCTAGTAAACTTTTAGCGCAAAAATATAAATTAACACCTATATAAATTAATAAATTTTTTTTTTAAAATTTAAATATTTAAGACGATGCGACCCTCCTGCGCTTTAGACGCCGATACTGTGGACATCACCGAAAAGCTTAGGAATTTTCTATTAAAAACCCTCAACGAACTGCGGAACAAGGTGGCCAAAGGTGGCTTCAGCGGGCTAACACCTGCTGCTAGGATGGCCTCTGTGAGGTGGGATCCGGATCTGGCCTACTTGGCGGAGTTCAACGTACGGAAATGCTATATGACCCACGACGATTGCAGGAGCACTAAAAAGTTCCCGAATGCTGGCCAGGCCGTGGCGTATCGAGGCTTTAAAGGTAAGGTCCCAGACCTGGAGGACATTATAAAGGATTGCTTCGGAATGTGGATGAAACAAAACCTCCACGCCCATATGGCTGACGTACTGAAGTACAAGGGACACAAAATCGGGTATGAAATGGAAAAACTTTGAGAAAACTGCTTTAAAATTTTAATTCATTTTCCAGACCGCCAATATACAACTTCTTACAACTGATGGTGGATCACAGTGATCATTTGGGCTGTGCCATTCTGCAGCAGACTTACAATGGATGGCGCCAAACCTATCTGACCTGCAACTTTGCCTCGGCACCCATACAGGGGAAACACGTCTTCGCCACCAGCGGGACGGCGGGTACGGGATGCCAAACAGGAAAGCATCCAACTTATGCTCATCTGTGCTCCGAAAAGGAAACATATGCCAAGGAAGATCCTAAGGCTGATTTCACCTATCTTCGGGCGGAGGATGAGCCAGATACTCTGCTACAATCATGGATTTACGACGATTCGGATAACCAGGACGACTTGGAATATATCCACCATGGAATACACATTATAATGCCCGATCACGAGGAATTCGAATTTTTGCAAGCAGCTGATGGTACAACTGCTGCGGCTGGTGGGACTACCGCAGCTCCAGCGGCTGGTGGGACTACCGCAGCTCCAGCAGCTGGTGGGACTACCGCAGCTCCAGCAGCTGGTGGGACTACCGCAGCTCCAGCGACTGGTGGAACTACCGCAGCTCCAGCCGGAAACATAACAGCTGCAGGAGGAAACAATACAACTGGAGGCGGGGGAGCAACACAGGCCACCGGAGAAGATGAGAACACGGAGGCAGAAGCTCTAGCCGAACCAACTACTGCGGCTCCCGACCTATCTGCACTCCAGAGAAAGTTTGCACGCTTCATATTCCTAATGGACCTGGCAGAAACACGGAGCTCCCATCGGAACTATGTGATCACAACGAGTAACCACGCGGTGAAAGATAATCACCACATGAATTCCACAAAAAAGAGTAAGAAAGCAGCCAGGAGCCGGATGAATATTTAAAGTAGTCCTACAAGGACATTATTTGATATTTAATATTTAATAAAATCAAGCAGGATCCTTAAATTAACAATCATTTCAAGAACCCCAAGATTATAATACAAAAGTCCTTAGAAAGTCCCTATTTAGAAGCTAAAATTAAGCTTTATTGTCAAAATAGACTACATCTGTAACTTCTCAGGGTTCATTGTTTTCCAGATGGCTTCGATGCGCCGATTAGCTTCTCGTAGGTGGCTTAACATCGACTCGAACCCTGATTCTGGAATGACGCCGGCTCTGCGGCAGTTGGGGACGTGACGATCGTAACGCCACTTGGTCTTGAACGTCATGTCGCAATGCTCGCACATCATGCACTCCCCATTCACATCGTCCTCGTCATCCTCACAGGAATAAGCCCCTACAGATTGTCGTTTGGGACTAGGCCATTTGGGTTCCGGCTTGATGAGCAGTTGCGTATTGTTCTTGCGTCGCAGCTCGTCCTGATGATTGTAACGAATGTGGTTCAAGATCTTCGTCGTACTAGTTTTTGTGCGATCACAAATGCTGCACTTAAGGTAGGAACGGTATGGTAGGTGCTTAAAGCAATGCTTCTGCAATTGCGAACGCTTCGTGGATGGCTGTACTTCGTGGCATTGTAGGCACACTGCCTGCCCGGGCTCCTGGATCTTGAAGCTGTTCTCGATAATGTGCTCAAAGTCGTGCTTGTTGAACACATGCGCCCTCCAGCCTTCCATCGATGCGATCTCTTTGCCGCACTTGGGACAGAGGTAGGAGATAAGCTTCATTAGTCCGTTGTTTGACACTTCCGACTCAGAATCGTGAGTGGGCGTGCTAGAAATACGTCGTCGCTTTGCTGCCTGACTTTGACAGTCCGACTTCATTTCCTTTTTCAGCTGAGCTACTTCCTCCTTTCCGAGCGCATCGATTTCGATTATGACCACCTCCTCGGCTTGTGATCCACCTGCAGATCTGTCTTCCCTTTTTTCCTTGCCGGGCGGACCGGAATCATCGAAAAACTCCTGACACAGGGCATCCAATTCGGCTTCGAATTTCAGTGGCTTTCCTTCCTCCTTTCGGACAATGTCCTCGTATGCATTCAGACATCTGTCCAGGTTCTGTTCACTGGCATTGGTCTTAGCTGCGGCTGAGGAAACTGAACCAGATGATGACGCCGTTGCTGCTGGTGTGGTAGTAGGCGATTTATCCACCTCGGTTTGGAGATCAATGTCCATCAGAGCCTTTTGCAATAAATCTCTGCGCTGTTTTGGACCGCTACCCCGAGGGCGACCACGCTTGGCCGGCACTTTTACAGTCCCTCCCGTATTTCCATTGCTGACTGCTGCTGTAGCTGCTGCTGCAGCCGCTTCTTTATCCTGCTGTTGCTGCCGCTTCATCTGACGCAGCTTGGTCTCATACTTCTCGATCTCGCGCAAGTGTGTCTCTAGCAGATGCGTGTTCAGGGCCCTGCGCCTGGTGTATGCCATGCGGCAATGCACGCACCGGTAGGTTTCACTGTGCTCCAGGTGCATGAAGTAATGATACTGGAGCAGTGCGATTGTCTTATGGGCGTTCTCCACCCACTTAAAGCAGAGCTGGCACTCGTGAAACCGTTCATCGATCTGGATAAAGTTAAAGTCCGAGTAGGTCTTCTTCAGATATTCATGTTTCTGTGGGAATTAATACAATTATTAAACCAACTTTAGTGAAAGACTGATATAAACTTGCCGTATTTAAATGCTGACGCCATTCGACCTGGGTGCGAAACGCCTTACCGCACTCCGGGCAAATGTATACCATGTGTGCCTCCAGGCGGGCATTTAATCGGCTCTGCTCATCCGATAATGCCACGTTTCGCGACATTTTTTTATTTTCCACCTCCTTTTCCTGTTTTCAGAAAGCAAACAAAAATTTAAACGCTTATTAAAACCTAGAGATGGGCCTAACTACTTAATTACGATAAGTATTTTATCGATTTCCTGATATCGATTTTTTATTTTCATAAAATTGGTCGAGTAATTTATAGAACTTTAATTTTTTTTCAAAGTATAATCTTTCTCACAGGCTGGTTTTAAAAATATGGTACATTAAAAATATTTCAAATACGAAATTTGTTAATTAAAAATTAATCGATATTTATTCCAGCACTTCGTGAAACGGTTGTCCATCACCCACAAGCAAGAGTCTGTCCTGCGGTCGCGGGACAAATAATTTTATAACTTCTACTCAGATTACAATAGTTTTAAGCTATAAAGTGAAAATTTACCTAGTATTAATATGTCAAGCTTAGCAAAGCCGTCGGTAAGAAACCGATTTGTTAGACCCCGATTTTTTTGTAACATTTCATCTTATTGCAGTCAACCGCTGGTTCCAGTGGGAGCTCCACGTCCGCAGCCGCCGCTTCTGCCGCAGCCTCGAATGCAGCTGCCTCCTCCTCTTCCAATGTACAGGAATTCAAAATTCGGGTGCCCAAGATGCGGAAGAAGCACCATGTTATGAGATTCAATGCCACCCTTAATGTGGATTTCGCCCAATGGCGAAATGTGAAGCTGGAGCGAGAAAACAATATGAAGGAGTTCCGGGGCATGGACGAGGATCAGCCCAAATTTGGCGCTGGCTCTGAGTACAACAGGGATCAGCGAGAGGAGGCGCGCCGCAAGAAGTTTGGTATCATAGCCAGAAAATACCGCCCAGAAGCACAGCCCTGGATCCTAAAAGTGGGCGGCAAAGCAGGGAAAAAATTCAAGGGAATACGTGAAGGGGGTGTGGGTGAGAATGCGGCATTTTATGTGTTCACCCATGCCCCTGATGGCGCAATCGAAGCATATCCCCTTAATGAATGGTACAACTTCCAACCCATCCAGCGCTACAAATCCCTGTCAGCTGAGGAGGCGGAACAGGAGTTTGGACGGCGGAAAAAGGTGATGAACTACTTTTCACTTATGTTGCGGAAGCGGTTGCGAGGTGACGAGGAGGAAGAGCAGGACCCAGAGGAAGCGAAGCTCCTTAAGGCGGCCACGAAAAAGTCAAAGGAACTGAAGATTACTGATATGGACGAGTGGATTGATTCCGATGATGAATCTGAATCGGAGGATGAAGAGGAAAAGAAGAAGAAAAAGGAGCAGGAAGATAGCGACGATGATAAGGCCAAGGGGAAAAAAGGAGCCGACAAAAAGAAGAAAAAGAAACGAGATGTGGACGACGAGGCGTTCGAGGAGTCCGACGACGGTGATGAGGAAGGAAGAGAAATGGATTACGACACGAGTTCCAGCGAAGAGTATGTATCCCAACCGGAACAAGTTGTCTCCCTATCGAAAATACATATAACATATCTTATTTTAGTGAGCCGGATCCGGAGGCCAAGGTTGACAAGGACATGAAGGGCGTTGCAGAGGAGGATGCCCTGCGGAAGCTACTCACCTCCGATGAGGAGGAGGAGGACGAGAAGAAGTCAGATGATTCGGACAAGGATGAGGCCGATGGCGAAAAGAAAAAGAAGGATAAAAGCAAGGACGATGCTTCCAAGGACAAGAAGAAAAAGAAACCGGGCAAGGACGACAAGAAGGGCAAGACGAACGGCAGTGGCGGCGACTCTTCTACAGACTTTAGCTCAGATAGCACCGACTCTGAAGACGACCTCAGCAACGGCCCACCCAAAAAGAAGCCAGCCTCGAAGGAAAAAGAAAAAGAGAAGGATAAAGAAAGTGCAACGACCAGCAGTAAAGCTTCAACGAGCAGTAGCAGCAATGCTAATAAATCAAGGTCTGCCACCCCAACCTTATCGACAGATCCCAAGCGTAAGATGAACAGCCTGCCCAGCGACCTAACCGGCTCGGACACCAGCAACAGTCCAACCAGCACTCCGGCCAAGCGACCCAAGAACGAGATCAGCACTTCACTGCCCACCTCTTTCTCCGGGGCCAAAGTGGAGTAAGTTTCTTTTAGATATAACCCGTTGAAGTTCCTTTTTAATTCCTGGTTTTTTTCAGGGACTATGGCATTACTGAGGAGGCAGTACGTCGTTACCTGAAGAGGAAACCACTCACCGCCACCGAACTTCTCACGAAATTCAAGAACAAGAAGACTGGCGTCTCGAGCGACCGTTTGGTCGAGACCATGACCAAAATCCTCAAAAAGATCAATCCCGTCAAGCACACGATTCAAGGGAAAATGTATCTCTGGATCAAGTAGGCTCCAATCATGTGATTTTTATTCTTTTTTTAATCCAAACGCATAATTGTTCCACTAAAATATATATAATCCTTTAGTTGAATATATACTGGATTTATTAAAACAGCAGAAAAGATATTTTTCTCAAATTTAATTCAAAACTAGGTGGCAGCTCCTTTTGGGGCTGCCAGCCTGAAAGATAGAATTTCCAATCCGATAACATTAACAATCGATGTTTGTCAGGAACACTGTCATCTCCAACACTTTTGTGTGTGGGATGCAAATTCTAATACCCAATAATTAGCGAGCGAACCCAAAGTGGCCCCCTAGAGCGAGTGTCATGCCCAGGAAAACCCCATCCAGGCGTTCCTGTTGAATTCTGACCTGGGCGGATTAGAACTCCGCTGATCTAACGCGAAGTCAGTAAAGTAAAACGCAATTAAGCGATGGCGACGAGTGCTGCTGGGGCGAACGAGTATTGAAAAGTCGGATTGGATATATGTATGAAGGAATAAGCCTAAAAGCAAGTTAAAAACACCAAACCCAGACCCAGTGAGACAAACAGAAATCAAGTGAGTTTGTGGTGAATGCACCTAAATGAAAATAAAAAAGAAAAACACAGGAAATCGACCAGCTCAGCTGCTTTGTTGTGTTAATTAAACGCACACACTCACTCACCCACCCATACAGATTCACATGTCCGAGCAGATACGCCTGAAAAAAAGCATAACAAAGCGAATTTACGAAATTAAACTTCATGAACTTCTGCCTGGCACTTCTAATTGGGCGTATTTCTACCTGTTACCACCTGGAATTTGCATTTATTTAGATTCTGAAATAGTCTTCCACAAGGAAAACCTTGAGACCCTCAGTCCCACCTTGTAAAGTTCAAGGTATGCCCCTCTGCATGTAACTGTTTGTGTGTGCGAGTGGGCGGATGGGTGGCTGGTGCGTGCGGCTGTCTAGAAACTAATTTGTAAGGTGATATTGGCCTCCAAGCTGTGCGGTTTTTAGCAGAAAATACTTCAACAGAGAAATATTTAAAGGAATCTTGAAAATGTTTGTCATAATATTTTACTAGCACTTCCAACAGTATCTAGTTTCATATTTAAGATACCCAGCCCTATAGGGAATAGGACTTGTAAGACTTAAATATAGATGCGAATCGAGCAATAAAAAAATGTAATTCTTATTCAACCAGTTCTTTGATATTCAACCGGACGCACGCGTCTCCCCAGATTGAATTTCGCAGCGGAATGGCTCTCTGTGCCTCCCATTAATTGTTTACACATTCAATAAAAACAAAGTCACGTTCTCATTAAAGTCGCTGATTCGCTTGTCTATCGATGTGCTAATGCCAGTGACGTTCTCTTTGTTGAATTGTGAATTTAATACAATTTGTGACATATTTGCACACCGTCCCAGTTAGTGTGTGGTGTGTGCCCAAAATGTTAACAACTTTAATAATTTTTTTGAGACAAAAAAAAACTTTCCACATTTGTATCTGGAGCCTAAGCAGTTCTACCAAGCGACTAAGTTCTGCTTCTCCTATCTGCGAACCCCCATCGTGAGTCATTTTCTTCTCAACCGGCAAGCAGACCCGTTTATTTTGATAAACTACTGACCGTTCTCTAAAGAATACCATTTTTTAGATTGGTGCTAATATCATTTGAGGGAAATTCAAGCTACAACAGCCATCCAAACGTCATAGTTCTTTTCCAGATTCAACTGCATGTATGCCTATATATATTGTAGATATTTTCTGGAAACTAAAATGACCATTGCCGGCGCTGTGTCAACAAACAAAACAGCTGTCGTCGAGCAGCGTGACTGAGAAAAAGTACAATTTTGCAGAATCAACACCCCCCGCACATTATACACTTGCAGGCAAAATAAAAAAAAAATATATACAACAATCGCAAGCCGTTTATCTTATCGGGCGAGCTGTTTGTTTGCCATTGAATCGCCGAGCCAAAAACCCGCGGGTTGCCTTCGGGAACGTCCTCATTTACACCATCATTCAGGTTAATAGTACCCTTTAGTTTAATACTTTAGTACAAATAAGTGAAAGTATTATAACCTGCCAGCACTATATTCTTTTATCAGAATTGTTTAATCATTGTTACTCATCTTACTTTACAGACCGAGCCTTGATCGCAAACAGTCGCTGGCCCTGGCACATAGATGAGAAATGCCAATAGTGCGGATGGTAAAGAAACAAAGCAGCAGCAGAGGATACCGTGGACTTGAAGAATAACAGAGTTAAAGAGGACTCTACTGAGACCAGACGTCGTGGCCAGGCTGGCAAAATGTGTCTGAAAAGTTGCCTCGTAATTACCCTTCTGGGTCTCAGCCTTGTCTGCAATGAGGCGACTCTGGTCGATGGACATGTTCTTGTCTTTCGTAGAATCACAAATCAGGCAAGCCACTCAGATTCTTCTATAATGAGTTTAAATTAATTATATGCTTTGATTGTTGCAGTTGATTGAGGAGTTTAATGCCTTGCCAGCACAGTTCGGTCCCTCGTTTCCGACCAATGGCATTAAAGTGTTCGTTGTGCCAGCGATGCCGAATTCCTTTGCTTGTGGCCACCTGGATAGGCCACCGCACCTTAATTATCCAACCGGTGCTAAATTTGTGGCTCTAATATCACGGTAACTAAAAGCATTATTAAAGTCTCAATTAAATGACTAAGTTTTCTAATTCTTTTCATTGTTTTTGCAGCGGTGGTGAGTGCACATTTGAGCGAAAGGTGCGAGTGGCTCAGAACGCCAGCTATTCTGCTGTGATTGTTTACAATAATGAAGGAGATGACTTGGGTAATTATCCATTTAAATGTATATTCTGAGCTTTATTATACCTCCATTTTGTACTTTTATTTTTAGAGCAAATGTCCGCCGATAACAGGACGGGCATCCACATACCATCCGTTTTTGTGGGCCACACGTCGGGCAAGGCCCTAGCCACCTACTTCACGCCCGAGGTGGTGCTTATCATCAACGATGAGCTTCCCTTCAACATCAATACCCAACTAATATTGCCCTTCTCCATACTGATTGGCCTGTGCTTTATTATCATGGTAAGTGATCCAAGCTTCATTATTATTTTCTTCTGATATGACTTCTTTGTTTGGTGGCTGTCAGGTTATCTATATGATCTACAAGTGCATCAGAGAGCAGAGACGACTGCGTCGCCACCGACTGCCAAAGAGTATGCTGAAGAAGCTCCCAGTGCTCCGCTACACAAAGAACAATGTGAACAACAAGTACGACACCTGTGTGATCTGTCTGGAGGACTTTGTCGAGGACGACAAGTTGCGTGTCCTGCCTTGCTCACATCGTAAGTGAATCATTTTTTTGTCATTTGAAACTAAACTCGTGGGTTTTGAGAAGATAATGATAATATGAGTAAGAGCCTATAGCTAATCTGGACTATGTTTTTTTTTAGCGTACCACACACACTGCATCGATCCTTGGCTAACCGAAAATCGCCGCGTCTGTCCCATTTGTAAGCGCAAGGTTTTTACGAAGGGCGCAACGCGTGCAAGTCGGAGTCGACAGCCTTCTTTGGATAACGTCACGGACACGGATGACGACACGACCCCGCTGCTGCAGCAACAATCCAGCACTCGCCAGTCGACACAATCGAGTTCCGCCTCTTCGGCCGTGGAAGCTGCTGGTGGTAGCAGTACGAATGTGGGAGCAGCCGCTGCTGCTGCTGCTGGAACCACCAGGCACGGCACATTCCGACGGGGGGACGCTGGTAGGAATCCGTTCGAGGAGACACAGAGTTCGGACGACGAGAATGGTGGGTCTACCAGTGAAATGATATAATTGTTACACTAACTAATCGACTTGCTTGTGCAGCCCTGCTGGACTCGGCTGTACGTCCGGCCACATCGTCCGGAGTTCCACATGAACGGATCAATCCCTTCGATCGGGCCCCCAATTTGCCAGCCAATTTGGCTGAACAGTTCAGCGGAGAACGTCCATCGATCTGGTCTCGAATCAACTTCAAGTAATTACTCTCAGAATCTCACATTAGATGCTCTGATATTTAAGGCCTTCTTTTAATTATTTCAGCTTCCTGTTCCGCCGCCAACCGAATACAATCAGCGTTGCGGCTCCACCTTATCTGGAGCATGTAGAGTCCGGCACTGGAGCCATGGGCTTGCCCGCGACGGGGACAGTTGCCGTGGCCACACCCGCCTCGAACAACATCCTCAATCCGAATTTAAGCGGCTCCTTCAAGGACGACGACGATATGCCACCGCATCGCTCCATCTATGAACCAATTGCAATCAGCACGCCTGCCACGGAGTCGGCGATGGCCGACGATTCGGCGTTCCTGCAAACGCCAACGCAAGGCGGCATAGGTGTGGCCGCCTTGCCAAATAGCGGCACCGATCGCCAGTTTCTCATATGAGGCGAGTCCTTCGCCCCGAGTCCTTAGTCCGTAGGTTGTCACCGATCCTTGAGCCGAGAAATGTTGTATATGTTTCGGTTTTAACTGGGAACGTGCTTCAATGTTTTTCGTTTTGGGTTCGCTATTTATACTGTTAGCTGCCAGCTTCCAGCTGCTTTGTTTTAAACAATTAACTAATGTTTATTATTAATATTAATAAATATGTAGCCGATCCTTGTGTTGGCCTGTGCGCAGGACCAAACCAACGCCCCCTACCCCACAGACACAAACAACACACAAACACCCAAAAACACGTCATTTATATGCGTATACAAATTGTGATTTATTTTATATACATTTTACAATTAACCCAATCGGCACTACTAGAGAACGATGCCCCGCCTGCAACTTCCAAAAATACAATAAAAAAAAAAAGAAAAGAAATCGAAAAGTAACTAAGAAAATGCGTAAAATACTTGTAAGATTGAATTGTTTACCTGATTCGGATTAATCAAAGATTTTTGTTTTTATTATTTCTAATTTAAACACAAATACACGTAAAACAATCACACTGATTATACAATTAAACTGATTTAAGGAATTACTGATGAGTTTATTTTGAAAGCATTGTTTTATGAGATCTGTTATTCAAGAAACAAAGGAAATTAAATCAAACACTTGATTATGTGGCACTGGCCTGTATATTGTACATTATTCTCGATTTAACTAATTTTAAGTTAACTAAATATACATATAGTGTATAATCCCCGTTCGATGCCCGTTATTAGGTCAGAGGAATACTGTCAAATATGATCAAATTATATTTCGAGTCAATGTCGTTGCCACACTCTCCGATAAGAGTAGAAAACTTAAGCGCTAGTTTTGTGATTCTTTTTTCCCCAAGAAAATAAAAAAAATAAACACACAGATTCAAAAACACCTATTAATTAGAAAAGCAACTGATAAAAAAAAAACTGTTCACAACAAAACGAAATCAATTAGGGCATAGATGCATTCGAAGAGGAATATATTTAGTGATGCTGTGGCGCAGTGTAATTTAAATTTAATTTACATTCAAATAATAAATAAACGTAATGGATATAAACAAAAACAAGTGGTTTGTTTGTTTTATTTTATGATATAGAAATGGTATTCCAAGAAACTGGTAGATAAGAAAATACTTTTAAAACTATCTCAAAAAGTGGTCTTTAATCTTGTACGTAATTATGGTAGCCAGAGAAGAATATAAATATCGGGGTCTCTATAAAGTTTCCACACTCTTCTGGATTTAAATCAGAAGAAACTCTTTTCTTTAATTTTCCTATATATTCTTTAGTTTTCAGAAAAGGTTTTCAAACAAAACTATAGAACTATCTGAAGAATACAGATTTGAAAAACTTTAGGTTTAAGTAGTATTCGTTTCATAATATCCAGGCCATTATGACTTTCATCTATGTATATATACCTACCTCAGTTAGTATCCATTTTTCTTATAACCGGCTTTTAATCTTAATTTCCTTAACTGTGCTAGAGAAGAATACTTGTACTATAATCTATCCAATTTATAAAGAATCATAATGTTTTCATCTAGTCTTTCTATTCCCTCTTTTCTTTTCAGGAAAGGTTTTTGAGAAAGTAGGATATAACCTACACCTGAAGAATAAAAATATTAATTACTTTTGGTAGGCTTACCTTCCTGCTGTCCTTCCTGTATCATAATAGCCGGCTGTTAAGGACCTACATCTATATTTACCTACCATATAATAGGTTGGAGTAGTATCCATTTATCTTATAAGTTCTATAAGATCTAATATATACAATAACTTATATAGAATCTATATCTGTTATAGAGAAAAAATATATATTTTACCAACCCAAAGCAAACCTAATGCTAAAATATATCTTGGAATCTAAAAAGTTTCCATTTTATTCTTGATAAAAAATCACCTCTTTAGTCTATAAAGAGTGTTGTTCTATCCATCTAGTCTTTCTTATCATTGTTTTCTATTCAGAAAATGTTTTTGAATAAGTCTATATCCTATAACTGAAGAATACAAATGCTTTTACCTTTTGGTAGGCTCAAATAATGACCATTTCCTAATACCCGGGTCATAAGGACCCATTTCTATATGTATCTATATTTACTACCTATTCGGTAGGCTGAACTAATATCCATTTCTTAAGAACCGACCGATTAGAACCTATATATGTTACGTAGCAACCAAATATAGCTTACCCAGCCAATCCAATCCAATCCACTTAGTATTTAAAACAATGTATTCTCGGTTCTTACGCATGTAATATATTTATTTGTATTCTTTTTTTCAACTTTTAATTTTAGCCGGAGAGGGATTTATTTGTTATCTCTGCTGGGAAAGTCGTCAGCTGGTCAAATTGTCCTACTCGACACGTGTAAATTGGTATTTCTATATTTAGATGTTTAGGCCACCTTCAATAGTTGCTACAATCATTAGGCAAACGTACGTACATTATGGTAATTAATTGTGTAAAAAATAAATACAATAATTCGGGATTTATACAAACTTTCATTTTATATATAATTTCAATAGTTTTATATTAATTTGATGTAAATTTCTCATATAGGTTATACATATACATTATATTATATATTCAAATATATAGTTGTAATGCACGGAGACATGTCAGCATTTTCAAGTTACATATTACTACTTGTGTAGGTTAAATCAATTTTCTCTAAGTGTACGTTTTATGCGAGAATGTGTGTGGTGTGTGGTGTGGGTGTATGCGTCGTGTGCTAAGGATTATGATTTTTTTTTGTACAGTTTCTCGATAGTGTGTAGGTGTGTGTATGTGTGATGGATAATTGATACAATTTCAATTAAAAACGATCATTATTATAATCATTATCGATATAGGCTATATACAAAATATGCACTTTAGAACTTAACTAACTAAAGACCGCTACAAGCTATCCGGTAGATGATACAATGATACGATGACGGTGTGATGGCCCCCTTCAACCCAGCCACTAGAGTTTATTTGACCACCAGCGATTGCTTGAGATGTCGCACCAGACCGGAACCGATATCCTGCACATCCGGCCATTGTCGTATCACAAAGATGACGAAGCAAATGGACAGAAAGGTGGTCAGAACGCGTACCCTAAAAACACAAAGAAAATGGAACGTATTAAGTCACATTGCTTGAGTGAGTGAATCACTAGTTACCTTGTTTTGAGAAACGGCATTATAATGCCAGCAGCTGTGGCCACCAGCAGGAGAACCACTTGCAATATCGTTAATACCACATTGATGAGTTTCACAACCAGGGCCCGTGCATTCGAATTATCAATGCCCTCGACGGTGACGTATTGTTGCTGCGACATGTGCTCCATTTTCGATATCTGTGTTATGAGCATGTTTGGTATGGATTAGTTTGGGAGTGCAATGGGGGTTTGAGAGTCCCACCAAACCAACGACTTACCCTCGTTTGACAGTTCTCGAGCACTTCGTTGACGTCACGTAGTCTTTCATCGCTTTGGTATTGTACTTTCTCCTCCATGTCGGCAATCGTTTGCTTCAGATTCTCAATTTCATTCTATGGAACACAAAGGCGCAACATGAGCACGAATATTGGGCAAACTGCCAAAGCTTCAAGCCCCAGGCTATGTGAACTATGAACTACGAACCTGATGTAATTCCGTCAAGTCATTGATTTGCTCCTCGAGTCCCTCGGCACGATAGCGTTCACTTTCGAGTGTGGCGGTCAGATTGTTGAATTCCTTTTGGCCCGTCTACCATGGAAAGAGGATTAGGAACTGTTGCTAACTGGGAGGACTCCCTATCACTTACCTCCAGCCGTTCGATACGCTCCTTCAGCTTCTCGTTCTCGGCCTTCCGCTCGGCCAGCTCTGTTAGCAGAGTCTTGAGCACTATATGGTATTGGCTGGCACCTGATTGGCTTTTGCCAGATCTGTAATAGAAGCGTAATATATAGTACTGGGTATTACAAGACCTCCATCTCATCTTACCCGGCTGGTATACTTTCGCTGGTTACACTACTGCATTCACTGCCATTGTCACTATTGAACTTTCCCGTGCCGCTGCCCGCACCTCCGGTATTATTATTCTGTCCGCCACCGCCACCGGATCCCGTGGAGGTACCCACTCCGGGTGTTTGCTGCAGCCGCTCGTTGGCCGCCAGAACGTCGGCATTCGAGGACTGCATGCCCTGCAATTCGGCATCGGTCATCTGATTGATGTTGTCGGCGCTGCCAAATTTGTTCTTGATGAGGTGGGCGAATTCGCGGGGCTTGGACATCACGGAGCCGGAGAAGCCGGTGATGCCATCGCGAATATTGCCACCCACATTGCGCAGTCCCTGGCCCACGTCCCGCAGCACTTCGCGCGGCTGTCGGTGCTGACTCTTGGTCTGGAACTGATGATTCTGCAGGTCCTTGGCCCGCTTCGTGTAGTTGTCCAGCTTCTTCTGGAGCTGGGAAATGTTGTGTGCGCTCTTCTGGTTCTTCTTCTCAAAGACAGCCTGTTAGGAAGGGGAAATGTTTAATTTTCTTCAATTCTTTCGTCTCTGATGGGATAACTTACCTTGATGCGCTGCAACTGTTGCTTGTCTGCGCTGGCTGCCAGCTTCAGATACTCATTAACATTATCTGAAATGGAAATATAAAGTTTAATTTCATTCATGTTTAAATTTATTTCAATAGAGAATGATAGGGTAACCCCCTAGATATAGGTGGTAGAGCTTAAGCCATATCGGATAAGAATTGGCTGGGATATACCCATAGTTTGGGTCACATATTGAAAATCTTGGATTTTCAAGGGGGTCCATGGGAAAAATTTTGGAAAAAATTCAAAAAAATATCCAGTTTGATATTTTGATCCAGAATGATGCAGAATTGAAGTAGAAATCGTTTGAGGTACTCCGCTCAAGGATCGGATGAGAATTGGCCGAGATATAGACATCGTTTGGGCTATGTATTGAAAATCTTGAATTTTGAAGGGGGTCCATGGGAAAATTTTGGAAAAAAATTTAAAAAAAAATCCACTTTCATATTTTGATCCAGAACGATCCAGAATTGAAGTACAAATCGTTTGAGGTACTCCGCTCAAGGATCGGATGAGAATTGACCGAGATATAGACATCGTCAGGGTCATATATGGAAAATCTTGGATTCTGAAGGGGGTCCATGGGAAAAATTTTGGAAAAAATTCAAAAAAATATCCAGTTTTATATTTTGATCCAAAATGATGGAGAATCGAAGTAGAAATCGTTTGAGGTACTCCGCTTAAGGATCGGATGAGAATTGGCTGAGATATAGACATATTCTGGGTCATATATTAATTTTAATCTTTAAAGTTGAGTAATGATACTATATTATTATAAAATAACCCCTTGACTAGTAACCCCATTGACTTACCATCTCTGGCAGTTTGCTCCTGACGGATGGACTCCTTGGTGCACTGGATCTTGGTGTTGAGCCGGTCGATGGCCTGGACGCTGGAGCTGCGCTCGTGGCAGCGGCGATGCACCTTCTTGCTGCTATCGAACTCATCGGAGACGAACGAGGAGTAGTAGTCCTCGTTGCCGGACAGGCGAGAGTCCTCCAGGCCACTGCCAGTCCCGGCACTGCCACCACCACCACCACCACTTTGGGTAGGAGCACCGAAATCGACAATGTCCACGGGGGCACCCACATAACCACTGTAGGCCAAAAGGCCGCCCTGGTCCGAGCCATGGGTGCGTCGCTGGCGCTCCCGACTGCGTCGCCGGTGGGTGGGGCTGTGGCTGCGGAAGCCACGAGCCACCACCCCACCGCTGCCTAGACTGCCGGTCACCGTGTTGCCGCCGCTGTAGACAGCCGCCTGTGCAGCTGCCACTGTGCTGGATGAGGCCGAGGAATTGCTGTTTGTGTGCGCGGAAGCCGTTCCCGTCGCAGATCCGGATGTGGTCGCTCCTCCTCCGGCCGTTATTGTCGATGCACCTGCTCCTGGTCCACTAGTTGCACTTCCAGTTGCCGCTGCGGACGTTGTGGAGGTACCTCCGCCGGATGCTGCTGCTGTTTGTGTGGCTGCCGCTGCCTCGCTGGCGCGCTCCCGGGACACTGGCGAATTGTGGCGCATAGAAAAGCACTTATTGGATTAATTCTAAATTCTATTCGGTGGCTTTCTGGGCTTTCAGTTTTGTTAGGAGAGGCGCCAGCTTAAAATGCGGTTTATGGTTTTTGGATATTCATGTATGAGATGGTGAGTCGTGAGTGGTTTTTAGCGAGAATGTTATTATTATTATTATTTTGTTAGAAAAATGTGTTGAATTCTCACAGGCATTGTCTTAAAAATGCATTAGTTGTGTGTCGGAGGATGTGAGAGTGTTTCGGGTGACTTTGATGGACAGTTAGAGACATAAGAGTAACAGCGGAAAATGAAGAAGCAGTGGCAGGCGTTTTAGTAGCGTTTAAAATCGCGTGTGTCTGGGCTGTGAATATATAGAACATGAGTGGGTAGTGAGTGAGTAGAGTAAGCGATGGAGGTGTTTTCAATACAATACTACAATAAAAAGATATTTTTCAATATATATACCTACATTTATCAATGGTTTCGATTGTTTTTTGTTTTTTTTTGTATGCAAGTGTGTGTTGTGGCTTGTTAGGCAGGCTAACATTCAACGAATTACAAAGCTAAAAACAAGGAAAAAAGTTTAATAAAAAAAAAAAACAAAATATTAAAAAAGAGAAATCAACAAAGAACATAACGATGTTAGGCACACAGTCATAAGAGTCATAAGATCGAGAAACTCAAGAAAACACTCAAAAGTAGGCTTCACTTTTTGTCATTCATTTATTCATGACTGGGTTGGGTTGGGTTGGGTGGCTTGTGGTTGTGGTGAGCTTGTTGATGCTGAAAACTCGAAAAAGCATTGCGAACAAAGTGGGGTGGCTGACTGGTCTGGGAGATCTGGTCTGGTTGGGAGGGTTTCTGTTTCTGTGGCTGTGGATGAGTCATCCTTGTCTGGCGGGGGGTTGCTTGCGATTGGAATTTATGCGCCAACAACATGAATCAAGAGTGGCCCAAATAACCCAATGCTTTGTGGCGAGGAGGCTGATGACTAAAAGCTTTTGGATGTGAAAGTTCTATGAGGCATCACCCAAAACTACTAGGTTTTTCATATTTTTAATGAAAATAAATTTTAAATTAGTATTTTAATCTTGAGAGTTTATTAAATTCTAAATATATCTATTGTTTCAATTTTTTATATGAAAATTTCTTACTTGGCCTCTTATTTTTATAATTCTTATATCAAAAATAAGTATATTTGAAAATATTTAATTTTACATTAGGTTTATAAAATGACATATTTAAAAAGAAGTATATTTTTTTATAAGAAATTGAATTAATTTTCGTCACCAATCATTTTTGTGTGTGGCATCCACGTTCGTCACCGGTCTTTTTATTTGTTTTATTTTAAATTTTCTCAACAAGCCTTCTAAGATCCTAATTTATAAAGATTGTCACTCAAGTTTTAAAGAATTTAATACAAATAATATTGATTTATGAAATATTTGACAAATTTCCATTAGTAGGTGACGAATTTTTGTCATTTGACTGCCATTTTAATATAATGTTAATAATTTTATACAAATAAGACACTATTTCTATAAAAAAAAAATATGATAAATAAACCTTAATTAATCACTTCACAAAGAAAACCACAAAAATTCCATAACTAATAGGTTCAAGTTCAAAAACCTCCTAAAAAAAAACAAATATTTATTGGCGGAAGAAGAAATTTAGTAACGCCCCCTGATAACAGAATTGATTTCCAAGCAAAATCGAGCTTGGAAACCGAAACCAGACCCTCAGATTGAAACAAACACCCCGCAGATAAGATGCAGGAAGCTTGAGGCATCCACTAATCAGACCAATTATGGAGGCGGAGGGATGTGGGAAGCCAGTGGGAGGGAAGGCAAGAGGGTCGTCATAATTCAAAGATAATTAATAATTACTTTGTTCGGCACTTCGGCTGGCTGAGGGTGAGCGGCTGGCGCGCAGATTGGAACTAGATCCGCGGGAAGAACGCAGAGGCTGGAGAGTCAGTAGGTCCCGATTTTGGTGCGAAACGTGGGCCGCATTAGGCATGGAGTCCATTATTCCACACTGCCATCCAATGGGGACTAGTATACTGCAAATAGAAATAAGAAAGAAATTGAATGAAAATATTTTCAAATCGGTTTTCTAGGCCAGATTGCAAAGTCCAAAGGTGAACTCATTGTCGGCCAGCTGATAATCCATCCAATCGGAATAATATATATATATATATATATTTATAAATATTATAAGTGAGTGTGAGGAAAACTGGAGCATATGGAATGGGGAGAATTCTTAAAATTCTTGGCCTCTGGCATATGGAATCTATATCTTGTAAATGACATCACGGTCACTTCAAGTGCTTCGAATTTAGATATGTTTACAATGTACAATATATATATGGTATCAGAGATAATGCCTTTAGATTGTTAGCTACCTTATATAGATTGATTATGTGAGCAGACCGTCTACTCAAGTCAAGTGCCATGGGCGGCATGCCAATGAAGTTGAGTTGTTTTTCGGATAGAGGCGGAGGACGAGGCCTCATCATCTGGCACACAGTGATAACAATTGTTTACTTGAATTATAAACAATGCTCCTCCTCCACCCAATTGAGTTATTAATAAACACAACCATACCCCAGGTCGCACCTCTGTATCCAACCAGGAAGATTCTCGCACATGTTCCGGTTCTCAAACAGCTAACTAAGAATTATTGAGGAATTTCTGGGCTTTCTGGCCTTTGTTTACACTAAAGGGAAGGTGTGTTTTGGGTTGAAATTCTATCAAAATTATGGTGAAAATTTCATCGGCAAAAATAAACAAGAATGACCTTTAAATATTTACTTTGAGTTACAAAGTCTAACGAGGAGTTTCTTCCACATGAATTGTATAAGTTATCTCTTTAGAACCATCTTCGAGCATTAAATTACACTACATTTATGATATTTTCCAAGTGAATCGGTTAATCTCTTGCCTTCCATTGTTGAGCTGGAATCCTTTTAGATTTTAATCAGCTTTAATGGATGTCACTTTCACACCCACTTGAGAACTGGAGAACCTACCCCATTGTTACTTCACTTGAGCCATTTTAGAATCTCAACAAGCGGCGTTTTCATTTCCTTTTTTACACTTTCCCTTAGGTCTTTCTGCTTGAGGAATTCTTTAAAGGTTACTCACATTTTTTTAGCTACAAACATGGGTTGCTTGGAGTGAGAATTAGTTGAAATTTAATATTTAAAAGCATTGAATTTTAAAAAACTATTCATAGGTAGAGGAAAAACCGGGAAATAGATGAGGATTCCTCAAGGATAGATAATTAGTTCTCTTTGGAGGTTTTATTTCTCTCTTTTTTGTCTCTTTTTTTTAAATATCTATTATCTCTAAATATCTATATATCTATCCATTCCATAAACCCATCAACTCTATAAGGAAATACCAGGGAATAGAAGAGAATTCTTCAAGGAAAGACATCTAGCTCGATGAGTTTAGAGAAAAAGTGGAGTCTATAACCCGTCTTCATAAACTTCTCAACTCCATACTCCATATTTTCTAGGGAATAGACAAGGATTCCTCAAGGAAATATATCTAGTATAAAAATTTATTTAGATAAGGATAAAGGAATAGATAAGAATTCTTTAAGGAAAGAATTTAGCATTCTTAGTTGCTTTTATTCTCTGTTTTAATCCTTTTTTTATAATAATTTTATATTTATTATAATTTTTTTTAATAAATATAATAATGATGGCAGCGACATTTATAGAGTCTATAGCTCAACTTCCATAAACCCATGAAGCGAAAAGTGGTTGCGAGAAAGTGTCGAGATCGGGGAATCAAGGAAGGGAGGCGACTCTGATGGACTTTGCTTCGAGGCACTCAGTCCCCAGTCCGTTGCGCTTTCAACCCAAATGCTCATCTGCACTTGGCTGCGCCACAGCTGATAGATAGGAGGCACTGGAATGGGTGAGACGGTGGGTGGGTGGATGGGTGATTGGGTGGAAAGTGAAGAAGCGGGACCGGATGCCTCAACCTCCTGCTACGACGATTTGCTGTGTGAATCGCGAGCATAATCATTTTTCTTTGTGAGCGCGGGCCTTTCTTTCGGTTTGTTTGTGAATTTTAATCAACGTGTATTTTGTAACCTTCTTCACTGTTTCTCTGTTTTTGTTTTTCTGTTTTCTGGCTTTGTTGTGCTTCGAGACAAGTCGCGTCTTTTCGCTTTCTTCATTCCCAGGCAGCGCACCTCTGGCGCAGTTGTTTTTTTCACCGACAACTCGTGTGCCGACTTTAAACTTGATGTTTAAACAAAAACACAGCAGCAGCAGCTAAGAAAACAAAACAATAATAAGCGCATTGGTATTATTTATCAAGCGAAACATTACGAACTGTAAGTGCTCTTTCTCCCAACTAATAGTTGCTTTTGTTAATTAAATAAATTCATTAAAAAGTTGCAAAGTAAAAATATTTCATTGAAAAAATTGTTCAGGGTCGTTGCACTCGCTTTCTGAGCACGCTTCGAACCCGTGCCATCTCCGACCGAGTATTCCCCTTTTCACTCTATCGCTGTGTGCCAGTTTAGAGATCAGACGGACAAGTGGCAAATTTTTGATAAGAAATCAGCATGAGAAGCTATGATTCTTCAACAATGTCTGACATGTGCTGAGATGCTTTTGAAATCTTTCAGAAAGCAAATGAATTTCCGCTTTAGAATTTTGGGAAATAGAATAGATATTTCCCTGATGACTCACCAGTCAAATCCTACAACGTTGCAGCTGGGGATTTGGTTATCATTTGTGAAGGTCACCATGCTTGGATTATAGCTATAAAGACGGCATTAAATTATAAGCCCGTTTTTACAGCATACGGAGACAAAGACAGTCGTCAGTCGAGAAGTAATTACACGACTTGCGGTACAAGTGAGGCATGCTTGTGAGTAATTCTATCATTAGATTCAAAAAGCATGTTGTTGGAATGCTTTTTATAGACTTTGGTCCACATTTCTGCTGTCTGTCTGTCGGCCTGGAATAATTTTGCATTCAAATGATCTCACGAAGCGAATTAGACTACGTTCTAGACGATTTAAGATGAGGATATTGAGGAAAAAGCATGCTTTCTTAGAATTAAGGTCTTAATTTTTAAAAATTCCTACCCAAGTTTTCAAGAAATTTAATTTTTTAGATTTATTTTACGAATTATTGATTAAGTAGGTGACGAATTATTGACATTCGGCTGCTCATTTGTTTCCTCAAAGTTCTAGGCGATTAAAGATGAGGATATTGGCGAAAAAGCATGCTTTTTTTTAAGTTTTCTTAGAAGACCCCCTAAGGTCTCAATTTCTAAGATTTCTACCCAAGTTTCCAAGAATTTTAATTTTTAAGAATTAATTTATTGAATTATTGATGATTTTTGATTAAGAAGGTGACGAAATATTGACATTCGACTGCAATTTATAGCTTTAATTTAATGAAAACAATAATTTAATCTCATAAAGCAAATTAGACTACCCTCGTTTGTTTTTTACCAAGTTCTAGAGTCTAGACGATTTAAGATGAGGATATTGAGGAAAAAGCATGCTTTCTTGAATTTAAGGTCTTTTTTTGACAAATTATTGATGTTTTATGATTAAGAAGGTGACGAATTATGGATATTCGATTGCAATTTATAGCTCTAATTTAATAATAATAATAATTTAATCTCACAAAGCAAATTAGACTTCGCTAGTTGGTTTCCCCCAACTTCTAGACGATTTAAGATGAGAATATTAAGGAAAAAGCATGCTTTTCATTGAATGCTTATCATTTCTCGCGTTAAGTTGTGCTTTTTGTTGACTGTTGATTATATAAGCCCCTGCAGACAGTATCATATTTGTTGGCCAGGTCAGGGTATTACGCGCCACAACAACAGACAACCAACCATTGAACTTGCCATGAAGAATTGCAAAGTTTGCTTAACAAAAAAGCAAATGCGGGCCAAAGAAAACAAAAAAAAAAAAACATAAAAATAAGTGAAAAAGCAAACGAATAAACTTTTCGACTTGGCTGGCCAACAATTTAACAAGACTGTGTGGTAGTGGTTTCGGCATTCAAGCGATGTGTTTTATTGTTGCAGGTGTTTAAATTGCCATTCGAGACAAGCCAAAGGTAAACTGTAAACTGTAGAGTGTAGCCTGGCCTGCCAGGCAGCGTCACTTTATTGGGGCTGATGACTTTGTTCTCATTTGTTGCGGAAAGCGAGGCAGGTGGTGGTGTCAAGTGTGGCCCGTGATTCATTCCAAAAAGCAAAAACAACAAATTTTTATGAAAATGTTGCACAACATTGCGTCGTTGTTTGTTTTAGATAAGCAAACCACCAACCAGGAGGAGCTGTCATAATCGACAACCACCACACTCTTGGTTTTTTTCTTTCATTTGTAATCTTATTATCGTTGCATTTTGGATTCCCCCCATGGATCTATTTTCGACCTGCCACCTATGGATATCAGTTATTGCAATTGTTTTTTAATTGCCGGGCCTTAGTTTTCAATCAATCAGCCATCAGGCATTGTGTAAGCAAAACAAATAGAGAGAAAGGGTAATTTTCTTTCACTATCGGTAGTAATTAGGGGGTTACACGAAAGTATGAGCTATCTACAGATAGCGATAGACTTTCAAAATAAATCAGCAAAGCACATTTCTACAGATATACCTCCAAGCAGGAGAGAAAAGGAGAGTCATTTGCGTTTTCCAGATAACTCAAGGCAGGTAAACAAACAAAACTTCAGGTAGCTTGAGAGATCTAATGACTCAAGGTCTAATGATCTCACAATTCTTGGAGTTTTAAGATGAAAAATGGCCCTATTTTGTAGTTGAAAATATTCCACTCCACTTTGTAAATAAGCATGACTGGTTAATAGTGCTTTTCTCTCTTAGCCTGGGCCTATCTTAGGCTGACCAGACCTTATCTAGTGCCCACAAGAAGCCCACACACCTGACACTAATCAGACTGACACCCGGCGGCTAAGCCCACATCCAATTGGGGCCACATCGAGTGTGTAAATATAACCATTTGATTCACCGCCCTATTAATCAGAACCCAGAAGGCAGCGCAACTTGATATC